AAATCATTAGATAAAGGCAAGATATCTCGTGAAGCTTATCGATCATTAGCACGTATTAATCAAGATTTGCCAAGAGATGGTGCAATATTAAGTACACGTCAAAGACTTAATAAACAAATGCAAAATCTAGTTCCCTTATCACTTACAAATGTAGAAGAAACATCTGTTGCTTCTGAATTAACTGAAGATCAACCTTATATTACTGATACTGATATAGTTAATAATGTAGTTGAATCTGCTGAAAAAGGTAAACAGCGTTCTATAATTGATATATTAAATTTTATTGTACCTAAGTATATAAAAAAAGGATTTTTAATTCCAAATAATACTACTATTAAACTTTGTATATCTGGAGATGGTAGAAATGTAGAATGAAAGGTTCAGCATGTTATGGTAATAGCTATAATACTTAATAATATAGAAAGACTACATAAGCCTAAAGGGTATCATACACTTGTTCTTTACTCTAGATTAGAAAATTATCAATCCCTTCAAAATACACTTTGTACATTAATTTTTGATTTAAACAATTTAAGAGAATCCAGATTTTATCAACTTAACAGCTTGCATTAGAATGTGGAGCTTTTTTTTAGCACAGATTGGAAGTTTTTAGTTACCTGTTTAAGATTTAATTCTGCAAACACGAATTATTTTTGTCCATGATGTATATGTATGAAATAGCAAAATGAAATTCTCGATCAAAATAATAAACTAGTTGGCAATTGGACAATTACCAAAAATATGGAACAAATAAAAAAAAATTTTTTTAACATTAGAGGGCATCAATGTGCACCCTTATTCGATATGATTGATCTTAAAAATTGGGTGTGTGACAAGCTACATGTAATGCTTTGCATTACAGATTGACTTTTTGAACTATTTTTATCTAATTTGCAATGAAATGGAGAGTTAGATAATAAGATTCAGCAAGAAATATTAGTAGAAATGAAATGAATTGGTGTAATATTTCAATTTTGAACAGATAAAAATACTAAAAAATTATATAATACGTCTTTGATGGGTTCAGACAAACTTAAACTCTTACGTAATTTTAATTTTAAGAATATTAGTATTTGTTATTTACCAACAGTTAGACAA